TGATACGAAAAACAGGCACAGACTGCCCCAATCAATACCGACCAGAGCACAGAATAAGGCTAAAGTGACACTGAGAAGCAGAGAACTACCGTGAACAAATATGTATTAGCATCGTGGATGGTTATTTTTTTCTTAATATTACTTAATCACAACCAAGCGATGATATAATTTTAAGTTTTCAGCTTATTCTCATTGTGGGAGAAAGCAAACGATCAATTGACGGGCTAATACAAATTTCTCTCGCAAACCCTGACCATGGTGAGCAGCACCATGTAAAATTGTAACTTACGGCTAAAAATTTGGGCGTGTTCACAAACAGAACATAGGAATTCAAACAAATAAATTTTTACTAATACCGAACTAGAAAGGAAGCTAGCTTTGGCAAGCCGAAGCTTATATACCCTTGCAGACTTCAAATATATCGACAAAATATATTATAAAAAGGCTAAAAAACATCGAAGTTATGGCGCTTTTCATATGACAGCTATGTATGTAAAATGGTCGTCTAATTTTAATGAAATTTAATTCGTGATTCAAGAGTCGTAAGAAAACTCTACATTCCAAAAATCGTGCTTGGCTGAATCAAAAGATTTTTCGATCTTTCCTATACGATAACGTTATCGGATTTTAATGAATTTTTTTCAGTTTAAGGGTTATTAGAAAACACTATATTTTGAAAATAATGCTCGTGGGACTAAAGGAACGATGCTATAATTTTTTTTCCATTATTTATATATATATTTTCGATCTTTCCTATGGCAGCTATATGTTAGAGTTATCCGATTTTTATAATATTTAATCCGAAATTCAATTGTAGTAAGAAAATGCCATCTGGAAGAAATCAAGTCGATCTGATCAAAAACAACGGCGTGAGAATTTTTTATTTCCCGTTCCGACTCATATACTGCGTGCAATAACTACACAACTTTTAAGAAAGTTTTAACAAGATAGCTTTAGAACTGAGAGATTGGTTTGCGTAGAAACAGACAGGAGGACAGATGGACAGACGTACAGACGTATTTCGATTCAGATCGTGATGCTTATCAAGAACATACTGTAATAGGCGTAATGTTTGAATGACTTTATTCGAGCTCAAGGCCCGCCTTTTATACGTTTCGGTTTACATTAGTTTTGCATAAGCTTAAACCTAACTGTTCTTATGTTCTTATATTAGTTTTACATTCGTTAATATGAAACATATGTTTATCAGATGGATCGAGAAAGGAGCTTTGAATCTTATGTTTATGACTGTTAAACAAGGATGTTATAATTCATGGTACATACAATTATACAAGGTAGTCTCGTCCATGGTACAATTATACAGTATAATTTTACCATGGTCTCGTCGGCTGCCTAATCGTTCGGCTTTTTGTCAGTGCGTTCGTGCTTGTTGAAGGATGATTATGTGTGCGGACGATTTTTTTCAGAGCATTAACCCTTGTGCAAAGATGTCGTTCTACCCTTGCACAGTGGGCGATTTGGCCTCGCTAGCGGCATTTAATTCAAATTTCAACTTTCAAAAAGCTATGATTTTTTTCACGATTCGATAATTTATTCGATTAGATTTATCCAAGCATTTTAAAAGCTCTACGATCAGCTCATCATCAGCTGTGAACGGACAAACACAGAAAATGATTTTGCAAAGAACTTTACAAAATTTTACCTGTTTGCGCGCATCGAATTCAAGTTCCTCGGAAATTTACAATTTTTAGTGAATTTATTAAAAGTTTGGTTTTTTATTAATTTCAAGGTATGCATTACAAAAAAAATTAATGTTTGTGACCGGTCTATAAATGTGTAGCTCATAAAACGTAGTGTATTAACAACGAGCCCGGATTAGCGTACACCTGTCTTTCGTGGAGAAGAACTTACCTGATTCAAGTGGATTCAGTCTAACTCTTTTATTAGCCGAAAGTGTGAATCAGTGGCGTCCAATGTGTGTAATATGAACTGCTAGTACCTGCTAGCCTTCAAACTATGGTACTTTTAAGGCACAATGTCAGTAGCAAAAAGGGATCTTTTTTAGTATATTTTAGTATTTTTACTATGCCGCCGTCTGATTCCGATGATTCTGAATAAAATGCTAGCCATTTTTAAATTATGTTTGTTTATGGAATATATTAATTGAAGTTTAAAAAACATAAAAATAAATCAAAATTTAAAATTAAAAATATTTTTTTTTAAATTAAAAAATAAAATAAAAAAGTATTAAAAAAAACAACTTTTTTTTAACTTAAAAAATTGTATGATATTTCTTTGATCGTTGAAAAAAAACCGACTGAAGATATCTATTTTAGCTTAGAAGTTATTAATTAAATGCCGCTAGCGAGACCAAACCGCCCACTGTGCCTTGGCTGCAAACTTTTTTTGTTTTTTTTTCACATGCCGTTTCAGATTATTTTAGTATAACAAAAAATGTAAAGGAGAAACTATTAATAGCTGCTAAGAAACATTAATTTAGATATTAAAACATTTTGTATATTTCTGTTTTCGCGAATAATGGGAAGTTCTTTTCTAGGGTTGACATAATGTCCTTTTGATGTTGTTTTCTTTGTGTGTGTGCAAGATTGTATAGTTCGTAGTCAGATAGTTGTTCATTCTTAAGTTTTGTCTCCTGTATTTGGACTTCTTTAGAGTTAGTGTTAATAATGCGGACGAAGGGGCTATTTTTTGAAATTATTGTATTAGCTATGAATACACCTGGATGGATTTCTTGGTTTGGGATTAATATTTCGTTTTCATTGTTGTTTATTGTCATTTTTCTATTATTTCTGTTCTGGCTGGGATTACTAAAATATTATTTTGAGGTTTTATTAGTATTGGGATTAATGTTTAACCTTATGTTGGTTAAGGATAAGTATATTGTTTTTGTAGTCAAGAAGGCAGTTATAGTTTTTTATAAAATCTAGGCCTATTAATCCATCGTACGGGATTGGGAAGTCATCTTTCACTATATGAAAGGTATGTGGTAATGTTGTGTTATGGGTAGTCAGTTTTATTTAAATTTCCCCTAATGTGTTTACCGTACTTTCCCCTATTCCATGTAAACTTGTGCGTTTGTTTCTATTAATTTGGCTTGAGTTTGGTAGTATGACTTTTTGTTTTATTAAAGAAATGTCAGCACCGGTATCAAGTAATAATGTAATGTTTATTCTGTTTATTCTTAATCTAATACAACTATTGAGGTTTTGACTTAGTGTATAAATCTTATGTGTACTTAATTTGAGCTCAGGGGACGTACAGAGTTTTCCTGCTGCTCTTTTTCGTTTATGAATCTATTATTATTACTAGTATTTTCATTTTCTTCATTTTTAAATCTAATGTTATTATTGTTCTCATAGCTTTTATTATTGTAGTTATTTCTGCTATTTCTTCTGTAACCTGTGTTATTATATCTATTACTATTATTGTTATTGTTGTGATAATTACCATTATTATTGTAATTTCTGTAATTTCAGATTTGACAACCGGTCCACATAGGAAATCTTGTGTCCCCCATTTCACTTTTGCCGACAATATTTTCGGTGGACAACAGTATAAGGTACTCCGTTATGTCCTGCTTCTCATAGTCCCAGAAACAGATGACTCCGATTGTTCTTTGCATATTTCGTTTCGTCGTTCGTTTTCTGTAGTCATAGAGGTGAACTCGTGCCGCCGAATAGAAAGTTGGTAACCCGGCAGCAGGTTCTCATACATCCTTTCGAGGTCCTAATTGAACCGATTGTTTTTTTTTGCTGCATCATAACTACCTACGTCGGGCCGAACGCAGTCTTGTACACGACCGTGGAGTTTTGTGGTAACGCCAAGACTATACCTTCGCAAAATAAACTGTGGCTGATGCCGATTGAAGAGAGAACACTGGTGGTCGCTGCTTGTAATCGAAGTAGTTTTAATTATCCTTCCTAGGTGTATCACAAAACTATAAAAAGCTTTTGTAGCGGACGTAATTATTATACCCTTGCAGAGCAAAAGGGTGTTATAATTTCAGTCAGAAGTTTGCAACGCAGTGAAGGAGACACCTCAGACCCCATAAAGTATATATATTCTTGATCAGCATCACGAGCAGAATCGAAATCCGTCTGTACGTCTGTCCGTCTGTCCGTCTGTCCGTCTGTCCATCTGTCCGTCTGTCCGTCTGTCCGTTTCCGCGCAAACTAGTCTCACATTTTTAAAGCTATCGTGCTGAAACTTTCCCAAAAGTTGTGTAGTTGTTGCACGCAGTATATAAGTCGGAACGGGCCGGATCGGCAGACTATATCGGATAGCTCCAATACAAGAGAATGAAATAAAAAATTCTCACTCTGTTGTTTTTGATCAGATCGACTTGAATTCTTCAAGATGGCGTTTTCTAACTGTTATTGAATTTCGGATTAAATTTGATCAAAATCGGATAACTCTATCATATAGCTGCCATAGGAGAGATCGAAAAATATATATAGAATTAATGGAAATAAATTGATAGCATCGTTGTTTTCTATCCCACGAGCTTGATTTTTTGAACATCAAGTTTTTTTACAACCCTTATATTGAGAAAAAAGTTTCATAAAAATCGGTCATCTATATCTTGTAGCTGGCATGGATGATTTTTGGAATATAGAGTTTTCTTACGACTCTTGAATTACGAATTAAATTTGATCAAAATCGGACAACTATATCATATAGCTCCCATATGATCTATAGTCGAAAATATGGAAAATGAATAGAAAAATCGTCTTAGCTTCGATGTTGTTTAACCTTTATGCATTTTGTTCGACATATTTGATGACTGCAAGGGTATATAAGCTTCGGCTTGCTGAAGCTAGCTTCCTTTCTTGTTTTAAATTCCAATATTCTAGCTGTAATAGTTCCCGACAAGTCTGATGCTTTTGATCTTTACTGTGCTTCTTTCTACCTGTTGCATACCTTTTCACCAACACAATTCAACTTTATGAATAACAGCTATAAATATATAATAGCTAGCCTTTGTGGCCAAAATTAAAAACTACAAACTAAATAATTACCTGAACAAATTTAGATAGTTTCTTGTGTAAAACGTACGATCTCTGTTTCATGACCGTTATATCTTTTTTACTGGAATCTTTATGTTGACCATTTTTTATTGGGTTTGCGTATAAATTGGCAAATTCCCTCTCAGTTCCAAGATACAAAGGCTTTATAAAGTTGACCATACTATAATCTGTAAAGATATTAATTATAAAACAAATAAATTATAATATTAGCAATAGGATATGCGTATTAGGTAAAAAAAAGGAATGACAAGTTTTCTACTGATTATTGTCAATGGTTCTATTTTAACAAAATGAGGAGTTGTTTGACTTTTTATTGAATTTTTTGGCTATTTTAATATTTTGCCGATTAGTCAACTTGTTTTCGAAATGGATAAGAACGATTAGTAAAACAAGTAAGAAGTTATTGACAGGTATTTATATTAGCATAGGACATTCTTTTTGAAGTGAAACTTCTAAGCCGACTACGATAAAGGTTTCATTAAGCGTTTAACACTATTCCCCCTCTATTGAAGCGTTCAACTCGGAAGGAGAAGAGCAACAGAGAACGAAGGAGTGCTAGGGGAAAGCGAATGAGAGTAATGTAGTAAGTTACTTATTCTACCATGCGCATAGCGCGCCTCCCTAGAAAAGTATTAGTGCCTATGCGTGAATGCATCAAGCGTCCCGTGTGTCATAAATTGTCATAAATTGGTACGTTTCTCTTGTTATTCAAGTGTTTTCCATAATTATTTCCTGTTGTATATAATATTCACGTACTATTTATAGTATTATTTCAGTGAATATTGAAAAGGGGACAGTTGAAACACGCATAGGACGGGAGATTCCAGCTTATGTGATGGTACGTTTCTCTTAAATATTTCAATCGTCCATAACTGACGCACCTTGTATATTAAATCATCTTGAATTTAATATTATTTGGATTAGCAAAAATTTTGATGGTTTGATTTTGAATTAATTTTACAGCGGAAAAAGATGGTGCAACTTGTGGTTTAAGAGCAGAGAAGCAGCACAATATCATCGTGAATACTGAGCACGAAAAAACAGAAAGTCTTTGCTTGAGTGAGTGTTCGTCTTACATCCTGCCTATTGCTGGCAATACAATTTTGCCAGAATGTTATGTAGGGCGATGAACGGCTAGCTGTTGGTCAACGTCCAGATGCGAGGGAGCTCGGAAAGGTTTAGGCGGTGGTACCGATATGGTAACTAGCGCGTAAAGTAATACAAAATGATACGCATTTCATGAAATATCGCAAAATTCCTCCGCGCGTAGGGACTCAACGATTAAGTCAATTTCTTTTTGCTTAATAAAATTACTGTTTGAATTTACTTTTTTAGCAGTTTTTATATCTTCTTAGTCGAATAATAGCCACAAAAACGATTTATTCTGTCAAAATTATAAAATTACTATAAGCACAAGCCTTCTGATCTTAACAAAACTTTTTTTCGTAATTTTATCGGAATATGTCTCTCTAATCAAAAAACTATGTTGAGCATTGAGCTCTTCATGTTCAATTTCTTGCTCTTCTTCAGTATTTTAACTCACAGAATTTCGAAGTACTCTTGCAAAAATGCTTTGTCGAGAAAGATTTGATCGTCTTATAACCTTGTTGTTTTTCATCAGAGAAGGATGATTTCCGGAATATAGGAGACACCTCAGACCCTTAAATGTATATATATTAAAAATCAGCATTATTCATCTGAATTAAACTAGTCGTGTTCGTCTATCCCTCTGATTGATGAAAACAACGCTGATTTAATTGTATTTCCTTTAATTCTAAATTTGATATAATTGTCCGACTTTTATGCAATTTTTTTTATAACTCAAGGCTTGATATTTAAAAAAACATGTTCGTTTTGTAAGAAACAACGACGTTATTTTTTTTTTAAATAACATATTTCTATAGTGGAACAAAATACATTATGGCTAAACAACAACGAAATTATGACATTTCTCTATTAATTTTCCATATTTGCGACTATGGTTCATATGACAGCTATATGATATAGACATCCGATTTTGATGAAATGACGAAATTCAAGATTCATTGGAAAACTATATATTCAAAAAACTATGCTTGTCTGATTCTGATTCTTGAAATTTCTCTTTGTTTTTCTATTTACCCTGCGTGGCAACCCTTTCATTAATTGTAATTGCTAACTTCTTTGCACTTTTTTGCTTATCGCTGCCTAGCCCTTTGTCCACGGAATTTTGTATGGAGAAAATTCGTATAAACCATCGTTGCTTTCGTAGCTGACGTGGAGGCGAAGTTTTCATCGATGGCTTTGGCGAGGATGTCCTTAGCGAAATCATCTATGTCAAGCCTAAAAATGTCATCCCCAAATTCATATGAAAAACAAAATATATATATATTTATTTCTTTTTTATTTTATTAACACATCTTATTTTGTAATATAAGAAATAAGTACATAAATAATATGAAATTCGAAAGATTTTGTTTACCATTTCTGTGGAGTATTTGCAGGACATCGGCTGTTTTGCGTCCATCTATGGTACAAAAATATTTTTATTATTACATATTATATGTAACTTTTTTTAATTTAAAGGAAACTTACCTTTCAAACGAATTTAGCGGACATATGTATGGCTGAATCCTAAAAAGATTTAAATAGGAAGCTAGCTTCGGCAAGCCGAAGCTTATATACCCTTGCAGTCATCAAATATGTCGAACAAAACGCATAAAGGCTAGACAACATCGAATCTAAGACGATTTTTCTATTCATTTTCCATATTTTTGACTACAGATCATATGGGAGCTATACGATATAGGTGTCCGATTTTGATCAAATTAAATTCGTAATTCAAGAGTCGTAAGAAAACTCTATATTCCAAATATCATACTTGTCTGTTGAAAAACAACGATATTATAATTTTATTTCCATTATTTCTATATAGATTTTTCGATCTTTCCTATGGCAGCTATAAGATATAGATGACCAATTTTTATGAAACTTTTTTCCAATATAAACGTTGTTAAAAAACTTGATATTCAAAAAATCATGCTCGTGGGATAAAAAACAACGATGTTATCAATTTATTTCCATTAATTCTATATATTATTTTCGATCTCTCCTATGGCAGCTATATGATAGAGTTATCCGATTTTGATCAAATTTAATCCGAAATTCAATAACAGTTAGAAAACGCCATCTTGAAGAATTCAAGTCGATCTGATCCAAAACAACGGCGTGAGAATTTTTTATTTCATTCTCTCATATGGGAGCTATCCGATATAGTCGGCCGATCCGGCTCGTTCCGACTTATATACTGCGTGCAATAACTACACACCTTTCGGGAAAGTTTCATCAAGATAGCTTCAAAACTGAGAGACTAGTTTGTGCGGAAACGGACAGACGGACAGATGGACAGACGGACAGACGTACATGCATATTTGGATTCTGATCGTGATGCTGATCAAGAATATATATACTTTATGGGGTCTGAGGTGTCTCCTTCACTGCGTTGCAAACTTCTGACTGAAATTATAATACCCTTTTGCTCTGCAAGGGTATAAAAACCATAATGTTTTTGTAATATTAACGACACTTACATGATTTTTAAACATTTCCGTTGCCCGTTGCATAAGTGAAGTAATTTCACAACCAATCGTCGACGCACTAATTAAAAGACTGACGCAGGTCAATTTCATTTTTCTCCGAACGAAGGAATAGAAGACAAATTTGGTGTCGGGCCGCCGTCGTTTGCAAGCAACGATTCGTGTTATAAGAGTGAGAAAGAGAGGAACACTTTGGAATATCCCTTTTCCTTTCCTACACACATGATTGCTTAGTTGCCAAAAGTCCACAGTGGACATCCAGAACTGCAGGGTAGCTTTATTATGGATAAGCGATGAGCCTTCATGTTTTCAAGTATTTACTGGTAATCTAATATCTTTAATTCACGAGCTATCCAGTGGCATGAATTGGCGCAATGTACCGACTGCGATCCCGCTGACATTTTGTCAAGAGGTGCTTCCCCGAGTGGGCTCGTGGAATCTGCCCTTTGGTTCAGAGGCCCAGCGTTTCTTTTCAAGAATCAGCACGATTGGCCTGAATCTTGTTTGCCTGTGAAGACTCTTCCCGAGGCCAGAAAGCGCAGTTTTGTTTGCGTCTCTACCGAAGTGGATCTATCTTAAAAATTCAATTTCGTGAATTCCTGGCAAAAGACGACCCACTCTTGGATTCTTATACAAATTTGCACACTGTATAAGACGTCCTGGTCTTGCCGTCGAAGATGTCAAAATCGGCACGCAGATACTTCTCAAATGTATCCAAATAAGCAAACTGGCTGATGACTACTGCTACATTCTAAGCAGCAAATTTCATTATCCGCTCGTTTTCCTCGCTTTTCCCATTCGTCGATAGCTTTGGTCTTGGAATTGGTGCCTAGATCCGATGTAGTTGCTCGTGTGGCAGTGATATAAATATCAAGTACCGAAGCAGGATCTGGTTGAAAGCCCTGGTCTTCCAACGGGGGGAGAATGTTCGGTCATGCTGCATTATAAATCAAATCATTTAGTTTCAAATCTCAACGTAAATAAAATTCTCGATGTTTGCTTTGTTTTCTATTTGCCCTGCGTGGCAACTCTTTCATTAATTGTAATTGCTAACTCCTTTTGCACTTTTTTGCTTATCGCTGCCTGGCCCTTTGTCCACGGCAGGCAGCTTCTTTTGTAGTTCGATTATGTACTCTGTAGCTGAAGGCACAAGCAGATCGCCTGCCTATTCTCTTTCGTCTATTTTTTTTAACTAGACTTGAATTATGAGAACATTTCATAAAATTCTGACAACTATTTCATATAACTGCCATGGGAAAGATTGAACAATTTATACAAAACTAAATTATTGCATCTCTGTTTTTTACCCTTGCAGAGCAAATTATAATTTTAATTTCAGTCAAAAGTTTGCAACGCAACGAATGAGACACATCAGACCCTAAAAAGTACATATATATTTTCTGGATCAGCATCACGATCAGAATTGAAAAACGTCTGTCCACCTGTCCGTCTGTCCGCCTGTCCGTCTGTCCGCCTGTCCGTCTGTTCGCCTGTCCGTCTGTCCGCCTGTCTGTTTCTATGTAAACTAGTCTCTCAGTTTTAAAGTTACCTTGCTGAAACTTCCCAAAAGGTGTGTAGTTATTGCACGCAGT